AAAAGAAAAATAGATAACCAAATCAGGATCTCGAACTTTATTGAGAACATATTTCTGCCACCTAGACAAGTTTCTTACTGTTGTCAGTTTGCCAATGCCATCAAGATTTGGAGTTTGTTCGCCAAATAATTGTAGCACCTCCTTTCTTGCTTCCTCTTGCCAATCCGTATGGAGTGCCAGAAGAAAGACAGTCCAAGCAAGCAAAGTATTAGTGGTTTCTTGTCCAGCAAAGTAAAACGTCTTGCACTCATCAATTATCTCCTGCACCGAAATCCTCTGGTTCTCATTGGTTTCATGATTAGCCTTCAAAAGTAATCCAAGAAAATCACTCCCAAAGCTGTCGTTTTCTCCAGTCATTGTCTTCTTTTCTCTTTTCTTAACCATCTCTATTATGGAGGCATGGATTCCTTTCTCAATTTGTTCTGATTCGATCTCGTCGCTGGTTTTGAAGAGCTTACTGCAACATTGAATGAAAGACTAAAAATGAGAGAACAGAAGTAACTCTCTAAAAATATCTTATTTCTTCTCTTCAATTGGAATATTAGAAGTACTAAATGAGAGAACAGAAGTTACCTGATGCCAGGAACTCTGACTTTGAAAATATTTTTGAATACTAGGGAGCTTAACTTCGTCAACATTCCAAACGTGTCCTGTCCTTCTGTATAGCTGCTGCCAAATGCTGTTCTGGAAATCACTTCCGACGTGAACAATCTAAACTCTTCATACACCTCAATCTCTTTTCCTTCGTAAACTTTCCACCTTTCTAGCATATTCTCGGAACTAGCTACCATTTCTGGAATCATACTCTAGTAAAAAAAAAAAATATCATAATGCTTTTAGTATTAGCATAATTACCATTCAACATATTCTTTTCGTATTTAGAAAGTGACACAGCTATGTCTATAGTACTCTTTGCAACAAAGTACCAGCAACTTAAAAACTTACTTTTAAACTCTCTCCGTGGAAAGCATGGGTGGCCAGCCTTCGCAATTTTGCCCATTTTTCAGCTTTGGTTGTTGCCACAAGGCCATCTCCCAATAGCTTCTTCGAAATGTTTGTGGGCTCTCTTTTCGGATAAGCTCTGCCTTTGTTATTCAGTATCTCTTTGCACAACTCAGGTTCTGTTATGACCAACTGAGCCCGAGAACCATGCCATTGAAGAAAATTCTTCCCTGTAATTGCATGCAAAAATGACCAAAACTTATCTTGTTTAGAACTAATAAGATTTAAATAACAATAGTTAACTAGTGGAGAGGCTTGTTTGTTTGTTACCATATATCTTGGTCCACGAGTGAATGTGAGGTTGAACTACAGAAAATATGTCGTGTGATAAAATGCGAGGCCTGCTCATGACTTCCTTTTTCATGTTGGAGATTTCTTTGGTGTTTCCATGGATGAATCTGTAAGAAGGGCCTTTGATCCCCTGCAAAGCCATCAGCTTCTGTATGCGAATCGGAGTCCACCATAGTTTGTGAAGGATCTTGATGAAAGCTAAGACAAGAAGCAGACACAGAAAGCTTGGAAGAATGATTATTAGGCCTCCCAAAGTAGTCATTTGGGGGTATTGTTTTTCTCTTTGGCTATCTCTATCTCATTCTCTGAACCTACTGAGCATTTAAAGCTTTTCTTGCTCCTGATTGTTTACAAAAAAGTCAAGAAAAAACCAATCTGGTCATGTTAAGTTTCTGATTGTACTTAGTTTGTTCTGGTATGTACTACAATCCAAAGGGCAAATATCATCGTAAGTGACTCTCATTGAAACCTTAAGCTGCTATTTGTAGACTTTTGATACATCATGGTAAGTCTAGTGACTTCATGTTGGAATAATCTCTTGGCTTCGTCACCAATGACATCACCATATGATTAATCTTGCAAAACTTTCTCTTTATCACCACACCGCGTTTTTCTTTCATGACTTTTCTCGTGCAAAAATTTTGCTTTGAAAAGTAGTGAACAACCTCTCATAATAATAGTTGTCTTTTAACATATAATTAAAATGTGCATTAATGACTTTTCTGAATTTTGTAAGACAAGAAAATGCGGCTCGTTTAGGCATCCCATGAGACATAACATTAGTATAATACAAATTAGATTATCCCCAATAAAAAATGTAACAAGTAATTTTATTCACAAGTTTGCGTATACTTAAGTTGCCCTATATATGCAATGTTGTCCCCAAAAAACTTATAATATAAAAGGAGGAGGTATATATGTTGAGAACTTGAGAGTGTTTGTCTCACATTGAAAAGTTGATGAACTTTATAAGGAGTTGGAATACTCCTCCAATAACAATTGGTTTTAGGGCAGAACCTCAACTTTCTTCATGATATCATAGCAAAAGCTTCACGTGTTGGGCTGAACGGCCACACAAGCAGATAGAATTAAACTTTCTTCATGATATGATATCATACTCCTCCAATACTCCTCAATCCATATGATTTAGTAAACAACTTCAATAGGAATTTGGAATCTAATTCTCCTCAATACAACTCCTCCTCAATTCAATTCATCCTCAATTCAATTCCTCTTGATTCAATTACGGATTAGTAAACATGCCATTAGTGGAATTATATAACAGAGCAAAGACGGTTTTTTCGACCAAGAAAATGGTCATGGGCAGAGGCCCATAATAGTTGTTCCACTATTTTGGGCTTTTAAAATGACTTTTTCACTCTTGTTTGTAACGTTAGAAAACTCTTTTGAGGCTCTCTGAGCTCTGAGCTCTAAGCCTTCTTATTTTCTATTGGTCAAAGATCGCTAGGACTTCACTTTTTTTTTTTTTTGGGATCAAAACACCTTGTTAATTGAGGTATCTGATATTTGAGCAAGAAATTCTAATGGAGTTTGCAGGACTTTCGATGACGTTCAAGCTTTCTTAATTGTACAATTGTTGTTGGGAAATGCCATTGCCTTCAATGCCATCTTTTCGTAATTAGACATTCAATCAGAAATCACATGCTTGGATTGGAAACTGTTGGAATTTAGGAGGTGTGTGATGAGTGTTTGTGACACTCTAATACCACTTGTTAGATTGTAGAGTGATTGTGAGTGGTGTTGCTATGATACCATTGTTGGTTTATGTGGTAAAAAAATTTAGGACAATATACAATAATTGAAACAAAGTGATTTTATTACATTGGAGGAGAATAGTACATAGGTGTAGGCTAATAGGTCTAGGCTAAGTGGCCTTCTTCTTAGCTTATTGGCTTATTGGCCATCACACTCTCTCTTAGCTTGGTGAGCTTATTGGCTGCTCAACATACTTTAATTTGGGTAGCTTGTTTGCTCCCATATAGTTTGGGAGTTGGCTTGTTTACTCCCCCACATGCATGACTTAGTTTGGGTCGGGTAGCTTGTAGCTCCCACATAGGTTGGGAGTTTATTAGTTCACTCCACATTTCATTCTACGTTGCATGCCTATTTATAGCCTTGGTCCACCGACTTGGGCACTTTCTCCCAACCACATGTCTGCAGTCTTGCTCTAGAGATTTCTTGCTTTCTCTAATCTCTCTTATAATATTGGGATTAAACCCAGTCAAGTTGGCATCCTTGTCCTCAAGTTATGGTGATGTTCTTGTTTTCTTTATCTATAATCATGATAGGGTTTACCTGCACATTGAGTTGCAAGTGGGGGTCATATCACTGTATTTTTTTGTTGGTTAAAGTGAAATTCATTAGATAAGGAAATTATGGTAGATAGCCCAATGATATAGGATCACAAACACAATCCCATACACTACAAGGAAAAACCCTTTTGGCGACCACCATCTTTGGTCGCTAAAAGTTGATATTTCGTCGCCAAAAACCTTTAGCGACGAAATAATTTCGTCGCTAGCTTGGTCGCCCAAAGCTCGTGGCTGAAAGTAAAAATGACAAAAGGCGACGAGAAATGATTTTCGTCGCCAAAACAATTTCGCGACCAATTTTTTCGTCGCCTTAAAGTAAACAGTTGGTCGCCTATAAAGACGGTTCCCGCGAAAATACTAAAATATGCCGCCAACTATGGAAGGATTGGGCGACCAAAGAGATTGGTTCGTCGCCGATAGTTTCTGGTGACTATGAGATTTGGTCGCTAAATCTTACTTAGTTGGTCGCTAAAACATGCATAATTTAAGTATTTAATTTTGTTTTTATAGATACATATATATATATTGTTTTGTGATAATATTAACCTTTTGTTCATTAACATATTGAAATTTAAAAAAAGAACAATAAATTTAGGTAAATAGACTAATAGAAAATGACATAAATAAAAGTTTTTCCCATTCAAAGGTACAAAAGTCATTCAAGTACACATAAAGGTGCCATATATCTAAAAATAGTAAACATGAATGAGTGGAGGCCCAACTCCATATATTTTTGCCCTTTGTAAACCCAGTTTTGCAGTCACTATTTCCCTATACACTAAGACTAGAGACCAATCATGCATCCTATGCCCTTTGTAACCCCAAGTTTTGTTGTCATGATTTCTAACATTTGTGGGTTACGGACTGTGATATGATCTCGTGGAATTCCCAAGCACTTTGCCAATTGTTGCTTGATCTTCTCAAACTCAGCCATGATATTCCTTTACAACAAAAAACAAAAAATATAAATTCATGTAGAAGGAATTAGAAAGAATTGTAATTGGAAAATGCACTATCTTTATGTAGAAGGAACAATACATGTTGCCAGTCCAAAATAACAATTCATATTCCCAAAAACTTAGCAAGAAAGTAAACAAGTTAATATAAGATAATATCCTTAAATCTCGTCATTACTTATCTCGTCAATTTAAGTGAATTCATTGAAGTCCTCTGATATATGAAAAGAGAAGGAATTTTTTTTTATAATACAGGGGTCTTTAAAAATTAAGTTTCAAAAGAATATGAGCCAAACAAGACTTTTTAAAAGGCACAACAAAGAAATAAAATTGTGGCACAATTTTTTATTTCTAATAAAGAGAAGGAAAACAAAGGATGCTCAAACCTGCCATCTGCAACAATAGTTTCACAACCTAGCGTTGGTCTCTTGGTTGTCTGAAGGGGCCTTCAAGTCTTTAATAGCTACAATTATCTATAATGGAAAATTTTCAAAAGGCAGTGCTCAATCAAGGTTGCTTCTCTTTTATTTCTTCTCACATTTTACATAAATGAAATATTAAAAGACCTGAAGATTTAAGTTCTAGAATGAAGGCTTAACAAAGAAATCTGAAAAATGCTAAATCATTGCAACATCCCACAAAGAAACCAAGCATCAATTACAAGATACTACCAGGCAACGCAAGCACAAGAAATCTTTATAAAAAAAGGGTAAATCTTAACATTTCCATGATTCCAAACTCGTAACTCAAAATATTTAGAGAAATTTTCATACCTAAAATAGAGGCAGCAGATGAGAAGTGGTTGAGGGGTCGTCGACCACCTCGTTACTAAGACAAAAACCAACTAAATTTTATTTTTACAAAATGAAAATAAAATAATTACAGAAAATTAGCTAAATAAATAATAAATAATAAAAGCACCTTTGAATCAGAGTTGGTATGTGGCTGAGCACATTGCAGAGAATCTCTAGTATATGTTGCCGTAGCAGCAAGTGGTTGGCATCAATGAAGGATGATTTTGGGAAAGAGAGTGAGAAATAAAGGCCATGAGAAATCTGAAGAGGGACGAAGAGATAGTGGGTATATAAGTGATTGGCCCGGATCAGATTCTAATAAGATATACCTCAATCCAAATTCGAATCCATTTATAATTGAATTATCGAATTCGAATCGTATATGGACTATCAGATTGCACATATCAATCCATATCCGTTAAGAATCGGATTATTATCGGATTTATTTTAACATGTATAAAAAATCAAAATTTCATTAGTAGTCTCGTTTTTTTAAATTGTATTTATCTACTTTTTATATCAAATTTTGATATTTTATCATAAAATTAATTTTAAGTGTATTCTTAGGGGGGTGTATTCAATTCTAACTTTTAATGACTTTTAATGAGTTTAAAAGTCTGGAGGTATTCAATTGTGACTTTTAAATAGTCTTTGAAAGTTTAGTTGTATTCAATTGGGAGTTTTAAAGAGTATTTAAAAGTTTTGAGGTATCCAAAATGTTAATGACTTTTAAAAACTTTGTTAAATAAATGACTTTTCAATACTTTTAAAGCTAATTCTTACTACCAAAAGTCTTGATAATTTACACAAGACTTTATATTGTATTGGGAAGCTGAGAAGATAGAAACAAAACGTCTCCTAAACCCTAGAGACGAAATACTTTAGTCGCCAATAATTTTCAAGCTTAAAGGCGACCAATCTTAATATTGGTCGCCAATTCTTCTCCTGGCAACCAAATCTTTTGGTCGCCATTCGGACAAATTTTATGGTCAATTAGTTCATAAATCTGACGAAATTATTGGCGACGAATTAAAAAACTTCGTCGCCCATAACCCTGTTTGGCGACCAAATCTGCATTGGTCGCAAAAGATTTCGTCGCGAAAGACCTTTTTTCTTGTAGTGATAGCAAAAGCCCAACCACACACAATAAACAAGATCTAACAAAATGAAAAAAGTAACAAAAGCCCAGGCCAGAGCAAACAAAAGCCCAACAAAACAAACAAACTAGGGCCAGCAAAATAACAACCAAACATTAAAAAAACCCTAGCCGCCACCACATGGAGGGAGAACCACCAATCTGCACCAGCATTGAAGGAACCTAGCAACTCCACCATCAAGATAGCACCAAGAACAAAGAACATAGGAACTCGGAGAGATGTCTTGGGAGGATGTATACAGCCTCCAGCGACCGATAAGCGACAAAAGCGCTTTAAGGAGATTCCAAAATCACGCTCCAACAGATGCCAACATGTAGCCATGGATCTGAAGAGGATGACACAGTAGAGCGGAAGAGGTTGTGAGAGTTTGAGCCGAGTAGGGAGCGATCCAAGATCTGAGTTTTGGGACAAGGAAAGGAAGAGGAGATGGGGAAAAAAGAGGAAAACAACACTGACTATGAAAAAGGGTGCATAAGAACCACCATATATGAGCATAAAGCCCAAGCAAAATCACCAACAGAGGGTGAGGAGACTCTCAAACAGAGAGGGTGCAAACCAAAACGCAAGAGAGAGGGCAGAGAGAAAAGTAAGGAAAGTCGACCCTCATGTGAAGCTGTTCATATCACTGTATGATTTGGCATAATCTAGTGCCACTTGTCTTGTCCTCCTGGATAAAATAAAACAAAATTCATCTTTGTATTGAAAAACATATGTGAATAGTGAGCATCTCCAGGAGAGTTCCCAAATTTTAGTCAAATTCTAGCTAAAATAGCTAGAAAGCTATTATAGCAAACCACTTAAAAGGTGTTTCCTCCAACAATGTTCTCTATTTTGGCTAATCTGAAATATTTTATTATTATTTTCTCTTTCTCTTTCTCCCTTTCTCTTGCAAATAAAATATATTAAAAAGAAAAGTAAAAACCCAACCCCACCAACCTCCCAAATGTCTCTATCTCCCTCTCCCTTTTTCTCTCTCTTTCTCTTTCTCTTCAATTTGGCGAGCCTCCATTTCTCTCTACTCCTTGCTAGATGTAGAGAGCCAAAAGTTGGTTCTTCAAAATAGAGAGCCAAGTAGGGAGCCTGGAAGGAGGATTTTCCTTCTTTTTAACCAAAGTAGTTAGGAATGAGAGGATAGAGAGTTTGCTGGAAATGCTCTAATGCAATCCATGATAACATGAACAAAAGCAAAATGTTTCTTAAGGTGTCACCTAGGGCATAGCATAATTAAACAGTACAATGAAGTAGACGGGTTAACAAAATATTTGTCTTAATGAATGGTGAATTTTATATCATGTCATGCATCAAATCTAAATCTCCACCACCAATTTGGGTATCCCATCAGCTTCCTAAATTGTTTTGTTTATAAATGTTTCAGAAAGTTCATCATTTTTCTTTCTGACCACACATGGCTAAATGACAGTGACGCCATTTCATGATGTCTAGGTTCAACATTTGTTGCAAACAAAGAAAGTCAAGAGGATCGATAATAAATTAGTAATTATTTTCTCCATTCACTCAAAGCTTCAAGAAAGAAATCGATCACATTTTCTAACCATATTACTATATTAACAAATCATATATGTAATGTAACCAACAACATTAGATCACATTAATGACATGTTTACTAATTCGTAATTAGATTAGGGGGAATTGAATTGAGGAGGAGTTGGATTGAGGAGAATTAGATTCCATATTCCTAATTAAGTTGTTTACTAAACCATATGGAATTGGGGTAGGAGTTGTGCTAATTACTAAAATGTCTTTGTTGTTGGGTTAAGGTAGATGACAATTTGGAAATTTTAAAATTGTGTGAGAATATATAACAGGTAAAAAGATGAATTCTTAATGGGTTAGTTCTCCAGGAATTAGAATACCATCTCCCAACCAAGAATTATTCCTCCAAAATCAGGAATTCAATTCCTAATTTTGTGTGGAATCCACTTACTTTTTAATTCCTTGATCTGAAGTAAACGTAGGAATTCATAGGTAGAATTCAATTATTGATTAGTAAACACACCATAACTGATTATATATGACATAATAGACAATAGCTGAAACAAAGTGATTTTATTACATTGAAGGAGAATAGTACATAGGTGTAGGCTAATTGGCTTTCTTCATAACTTATTGGCTTATTGTCCATCACACTCTCTCTTAGCTTGGTGAGCATACTTTAATTTGGGTAGCTTGTTTGCTCCAATATAGTTTGGGAGTTGGCTTGTTTACTTCCACACACATGCATGACTTAGTTTGGGCCGGGTAGCTTGTAGCTCCCACATAGGTTGGCTCCACATTTCATTCTAGGTTGCATGCCTATTTATAGATGATTGTTTGCTGACTTTTGGTCCACCGACTTGGGCACTTTTCTCCCAACCAAATGTTTGTGGTCTTGCTCTAGAGATTTCTTCCACCACCATACTTTAGCCATTCATGTGTCACTTTTTCTAGATCTACCATATTCATTTTGCTTTGCCGCCATGCAACTTCGTTATTGTGAGCTCTTGACCTTTCTAGAACTTTATAGAACAAATGAGCATTAGATTTTCAACAGAAACACCATATATTTCAATGTATAATCTTCATCCCAAGGTTCAAGTATTCAAATCTCAATCCTATCCAATCACGGTAATTGGAAAATTCAAGTTCGATGAACAAACAGTCAATATAATTCTAGCAGTTCCAATGCTTCTTCTATTAATTTCCACTTTTCACTCTCTTTTAGTTCTTGCTTTAAGATACTTTCTTCCAAACCAAACAAAAAGAAATAAACTATTGTATTATCCAACAATGCTGCCAAACATGAGGCAACAATAGCTTGGAAAAGTTGAAATGATAATTGACTAATAATACAATGATTTTGTCAATTTCACTTCATGACCAGAGGGATTATTATTGATGTCTGTGTTCTGGATACTTATCAAATTGAATGTAGCATTACTTGAACTCCACGGAGTGGGCGATTTGTTACTTGCTGAAAGGGCAAGTGGACATAGCTTTGGGAGAGGGTGAAGGAGTAGCGTTGTAGAACCATTGACAGCGCAATCTTTGCTTCGATGGTCGCAAAGTTCAATCCCACACAAGTTCGAGGTCCTACTCCAAAGGGTAGGAAAGCGCCTGCGTTATTGTTAGTAGCTTTAGCAACCCCTTCTGCGAATCGCTCTGGTTTGAAAAGTTGCGCGTCTTGTCCCCAGATTAGAGGATCATGGTGAAGTGATAGGCATGACATTACCAAGTCAACATTAGCAGGAACAATCAGCTTTCCTAGTTTAACTTCCCTTTCAGCTTTCCTTAACAGAGTACCAACAGGGGAATATAACCTTAGACACTCATTGATCACCATACTCATCTGCATCCAAACGAAACAAAAAACAAAAAACAAAAAAAAGAAATCATGCAACTCAACATTAGCAGGAACCATAAGCTTTCCAAGTTTAACTTCCCTTTCAGCTTTCCTTGACAGAGTACCAACAGGGGAATATAACCTTAGACACTCATTGATCACCATACTCATCTGCATCCAAACGAAACAAAAAACAAAAAACAAAAAAAAGAAATCAGGTTTTGATTCTTAATTGTTTCTGCCACTTAGAACAAGCTAATGATTGAGTTCTTGGGACTTACTGTTTTCAGTTTGGCAATGCCATCAGGGTTTGGAGTTTGTTTGCCAAATATTTGTAGGACCTCTTTTCTTGCTTTCTCTTGCCAATCTGTGTGGTGTGCCAGAAGAAAGAGGGTCCAAGCAAGCAAAGAATTAGTGGTTTCTTGTCCAGCGACGTAAAACGTCTTGCAATCATCAATTAAATCATCCACTGAAATCCTCTGGCTGTCATTGGCATCATGATGAGCCTTCACAAGTAATCCAAGAAAATCACTCCCAAAGCTGTCTTCTCCTCCAGTCATCACCTTCTCTTCTCTTTTCCTGACAATCTCTAATATGGAGGCACGTACTTCTTTTTCAAGTTTCTCTGATTCGATCTCATCACTGGTTTTGAAAAGCTTACTGCAACATTGAATGAAAGAACACACATGAGAACAATAAAGAGATAATAGAGAAGATTGGTTCTCTGCATAACAAGCCTCATTGATCAATAAATCAGCGAATCAATACAAATATTGTTGAAAAAAGTAATGCATATTTGTG